CTCTGTCACCTCACCTGCAGACCCGTGGATAACCTCCCCCCCACGCTCCCTCTCCCTCCTCTGTCACCTCACCTGCAGACCCGTGGATAACCTCCCCCCCACGCTCCCTCTCCCTCCTCTGTCACCTCACCTGCAGACCCGTGGATAACCTCCCCCCCACGCTCCCTCTCTCGCCTCTGCTACCTCACCTCAGACCCGTGGATAACCTCCCCCCCACGCTCCCTCTCCCTCCTCTGCCACCTCACCTGCAGGCCCGTGGATAACCTCCCCCCCACGCTCCCTCTCCCTCCTCTGCCACCTCACCTGCAAGCCCGTGGATAACCTCCCCCACACGCTCCCTCTCCCTCCTCTGACAACCTCACCAGCAAGGGTCTAGCCAGAAATTTGAATTGGGGGGGGGGAGGTCCTCGAGCGAGTAACAAGGGGGTCTGGTGGTCTGACATTTTTTTTGTTGAGTTTAATGTAAAAATAGTGCTTTAAATTCAATTTAGACGCTGTTTTGTTGACAATACTTACTTTTTGACAGACAATACTGTTTTGTTGTAAAAGAAAATAGAGAAATTTTTTAAAATATTTTTTATTTTGATTTTGATTGGGGGGTCCTAGGGCCCCCAGGACCCCCCCACCCCACCCTGGCTACGCGCTTGCTCCCTCTCCCTCCTCAGCCACCTCACCTGCGAGCCCGCGGAGTCCAGGGCAACAATGTTGAGGTAGAACCACGGATAGATTTCCCTGTCGAGCGGCTTGCGGAGCGACACAATGCCCGAGTCCGCGTTGATCTCAAACTGCTCGTCGTTCTCATTACCTGCAGAACAACGCGCAGCGATGACGTCACCAGATCATGACGTCACTGGGTCATGACGTCACCATGTCATGACATCATCGGGTCATGACGTCATCGGGTCATTGGGTCATGATGTCATCGAGTTGACCTCATTGGGTCATGACGTCATCGGGTCATTACGTCATCGGGTCATGACATCATTGGGTCATGACATCATCGGGTCGTGATGTCATCGGGTCGTGACGTCATCAGGTCGTGATATCATCGGGTCATGACGTCACCAGGGCATGACGTCATCGAGTCATGACATCATCAGGTCAGGACGTTATCACGTCAACGACCTTTGGTTATCGGGCAGTATGGTCGGGTGAAGGATGTGAACGAACACTGGTTCATAATATTATACAGATAACAGACAATTCACTGATGAGATCAGCCAGTGTGGCTCATAGGGTCTATGTCCCCCAGGGTACTATCGGAGGATACCCTGGGTACGGTTCGATATATCGGAACCTACCCTGGTAACTATCTGATATGGTTAGGGTTAGGGTTAAGGTTAGGGTTAGGGTTAGGGTTAGGGTTATAGTTAGCGTTAGGGTTAGGGAGTAGGCTTAGGCAACTCCCTAGACTCGTTAGTGGAGTAGGCGAGGTACGGTCTGGCATATTAGATAGTACCAGGGTACGTTCCGATATATCGAACCGTACCCAGGACATAGACCCTCTCAGCGCCAGTGTGCTGTGGTTACAAGTGAACAGTGAGAGAATGTGCTTGACGCCTCACCTTTGTTAATCCTGTATGTGACCAGGTTTCCTAGCGGACTCACCGCCCACACATCTGCCACGTACGAGCCTGCTGGCGCCACCTGACGGAGAAGAAACACGACAATTTTCAAATTTAGCCGCATTCGACAAAAAACAGAATCGTCACTATAGATACTATGGATGAGAAGATTGGCTGTTGCCATGGTGACGTGTTACGTCAGCAGCCGATAAACTGAGAACAGCGACAACAATCGAAACCTGCGTCTCGTTATCATTTGAATTAAGTAATGTGATGCACGTAATTAAAAAAGAAATGTACTGTATAGTATTGGGTTTTATTATATTAGACAGCGGTGGTGTGTGGGACACTGTGGGCGTCCTTAGTGACGTCCAGCCGTGCATTCTAGAGCAACAGACGGCATCTAGTATGGATGAAATTTTGAGTGGTTTACGGCACCTCGTCAGATTGTGTAAAGTTATGCAAAGGTTTACAAAAATTTTAGCTTGATGAATCGCAGCTAAAACGACCTCGCTTGCGTACGCGAAATCGCACGCAAATTTACTAAATAGCTGTGTTGATGAATCGCTACTAAGCAACGTCGATTGCGTACACAATATTTACGCAAAATATTTGCTTCATGAATCTAGGCCCAGGTTACGTTCCGTTATATTTAACTTCAACAGCCAATGACTTATAACGACAGTTTCGAATTATAATTTCGTTTGTGGTGCTGTATTTCCATTAGCTTTGACTCGCCACTGTCATAATTGGTTCTTAAACAGGCGGGATCATGGCCCTGGGGAAACCCTGAATTCTCAGGTCTATATTATAGGAGCTACCTCGAGTATGCTGGCGTTGTAAGAAGGAGCGGCAAAGTTAGGTCGGTTGGCCGGGTTCACTCTCACGCTCAGTGATGTAAGGCTGCTCGCAGCGCCATCTGTGGCGCTCACCTG